TTCTATTTCTTTTGCTATGCCATCCTTATTCCATGACTACCATCTTTGAAGATACCTCATGGTCCAAAAAGACCCCAGCCACTCTGCTCTTATACTAGGTTGGAAGCAGAAGAAAGGGGAAAAGGGCTGAAAATCTCCTTGCTTATTGTCTTTCCACCTTTTAAGAAGCTTTTCTGGCCGGGCGCTGTGGCTCACGCCTGTAATCCTAGCTCTTGGGAGGCCGAGGCGGGCGGATTGCTCAAGGTCAGGAGTTCAAAACCAGCCTGAGCAAGAGCGAGACCCCGTCTCTACTATAAATAGAAAGAAATTAATTGGCCAACTGATATATATATAAAAAAAAAATTAGCCGGGCATAGTGGCGCTGCGCCTGTAGTCCCAGCTACTCGGGAGGCTGAGGCAGAAGGATCACTGGAGCCCAGGAGTTTGAGGTTGCTGTGAGCTAGGCTGACTCCACGGCACTCACTCTAGCCTGAACAACAAAGCAAGACTCTGTCTCAAAAAAAAAAAAAAAAAAAAAGAAGCTTTTTTCTGAAAGTTCCTCCCAATAGTTTGTACTTACCTCTCACTGGCTACAACTGAGTCACATGGCCACCCCTAATAGCAAGGGGGTCTGGGAAATGCAGTCATTTTTATTGGGCACATTGCCACGCTGAGTAAAAGCTGTTCTGATACTAACAAGGGAAGGAAGTCATTTTTATTGGGCACATTGCCACACTAAGTAAAAGCTGTGTTCTGATACTAACAAGGGAAGGAAGTGGTAAGATGAGATTAATAAAGACAAGGTAATGAGTTTGTCATGAAGCAAATTTATTCAATTTACACAACTGTTCTTTGAGGCTTTCCTTCATCTTTTATTAAAGTTAAAACACATATTTCTTTGAAAATGAAATTATAATGATGGTAGATTTTTTTCTCCTAAAGTCTTTACTTGACCAAATAGAATGTTGTTAATTCTGGTTCCCGCAAATCCAAAATCTCAGGAATGCTTGGTTTCTCCCAACTCTAAGATACTCAGACGTATCTGTGTTTTCAGCACAGCCTATATGCTTCATGCCTTATGCTTGGTAGTGATAGCGTTCAGAACATACTATTCCAAAATATGGAATTTGAAAAAATAGCAGAAGCTGAGAGGTCCCTCTCACCTTCCCTCCCCTCTTTTCCTCTGAAGCAGGCCATAAAACCTAGGGAGGATTATCTGATCTTCACCTGGAGCAGGTCACAAGACTCTCATGTGAGAATTGCCCTCCCTACATCCAGAGGGAAGGAACATCTGAAGATGAAGGGTCACAGAGAAGAATCTGAACAAATAGGCCCTGCTAAATTCTCCCCAATTTATTCCCATCTTTGTCCAATTATATCTCTCTACCACTGTTCACTCTTCATCAAACCTAGTGTAAAAATACACAGGTTTAACAGCTTCTTTGAGTCTTCATTTCCTTATGAAGGCTCCTGTGTCATGTAAAAAGATATTTTTCCTCCCCTACAGGCTCTCATTAGGTGTCCATTGATTAATTTGTCAGGTAGGCTCAGCCAAAGTGCTAATGCTCAGTGACACAATGCAGAGCTATCACCTCCAGGTCCTTAGTCTGGGCTTGCTTGCAGCAGGGGAGAGAAACACCAAACTCAGCATATGTAAAGGGGTGATTATTGCAAGGATATGGGGGAATCTTGTGGACAACAAAGAACAGAAAAATGTATAGTCAGCTTGCCTTAAAATTGAGCTTAAAAAGTTGGGAATGGAAACTATTCCATCTCTTATAGAATAAATAACAGCCTTTAAACTTTTTTACTTTTCTCTGCCAACCAACTTTCTTTGCTAGTCATATTTTTTTCTTCTCCTAATAACTTCGGCTGGCATGGGGGCTTGAGGTCCTGTGGTATAGTGGTAGTACAATCTCTCAGTGTTGCAGTTCAAAATTCGCCAGCAATAGTTTGATTGGTTCAGTTAGGGTCAGGTTACCACCCCAGGTTCGGTTAACTATGGCAAGTAGTGGGGTGACTAGTATAAATAAACATGTCCTCCTGGGTGCATTCTTTCAGCAGACCCTGGAGAGTGAGCATGTGGAGTGGGGCAAGGGGGCAGGTACCATGCAGCATTTATAATAGATTTCCCTTTTTCCATTAATTTCCACCTCCAAAGCCCCCTTCCTTGACCTTGGGAGTTTTTCCCCCTCAGGGTGGCAGATCAAAGACTTTCACTGTTACTTGCTCCATTTCTTGAAGTGTTTCCTTATTCTCATTGTTTTCTTCTCTAATTCAACTTGCATTTCCTCAGTGGGGATGTTTTAATGGAAGAGCAATGTGGTCATGAGCGTGCATAAGCCTCTGGGATCATTTCGCCCCACCCCCCTATTTTCCACCCACCCCCCTGGAGCATGAGCAAGAACACTGCAAGTGGTGAGAAACACAAGCCCATGAGTCAGACTACCTGGATTTGAAGCCAGGTTCCAACAACCAGTAGAAGAGATGGCTCTGTGTATCAGCTTCTGTATCTGTGAAATTAGAATATTACCTACCACATAAAATTACTGTGAGTATTAAAGGAAATAACTTAGGCCAAGGAATTGGCTCTGTGCTCAGGACCTGAAAGCATTACTCACAGTTGATGTATGGGAGGCAAATATCAAAGCCATGGACAAGACAGTGTTAAATGTTGGGGTGCCAAATGAGGACTGGAGACTAGGGTGTCTGGACTAATTCTGGAAATAGGAGTCTTACTACAATAGCTTGTACATATGGACTCCAAGATGGTTGATTCTCTTAATACTTGTTCACTGAACATTGAAGAAAGGTTTGATAATGTCAAGAACTTTGAAGCACTCAGCTGATGGTGTTTTTTCCTCTAGAATGTAAACATTTAGCCTAAAGGATGTAATGATTTTCACCTAAATATGTCATTTAAAAAAATTTTTCACATTATTTAAATGTCATTGGGCTCTATACTACAACCAAAACTGTTTCTATAGGCACACATGCTCAATTTTATGACCAAGTTAAAAATAGAATTTGTATTGAAGTATTTGTTTCTCCAGAAATTTCTCAGGTATTTTACAAATATTTAAAATATTAGTAAGTATAGCTTCAAACCTATGGATGCTAGACAAAATGAATGTCATGAATCCTCATAAATTGAAGTTTGGAGCTACACATCCCATTTAGGTCTAAATTAAGCCTAAACATGGTGTCATTTCAGATACTACATAGTTGACTGAGCCTACCAATTCTTTATTAACCACAGGATTAAAAAGACATAAAACCACAATATGGCAATTATTAATACTGCAAACACTAAAAATGATTTTTCAGCAAATATGTAAAAAGATCTGAGTACCAAAATAGATAATTTCTTGTAACAAATGCATGGCTTAGTTGCTTTCTTTGCTAGTGTACGCAGACCTTAACCACTTTCCTATGAGCCTCGATAGTCGATAGCCATAGATGAACGCCCACAGGGACTTTAGCAGACAGCCATGATATGAAGGCGCACAGCCAAGCGTTGACTTTAGCGTTAATAACAAAACTTGACTTTTCTAATTTTTCATTTATCAAAATAAAATTGTGAACATTTAAAAATAACGTAATGAAAACATATATGTATATTTTACCTATTCTGATTTACATTACAAGTAAAGCTTGCCTGTAAAGTAAAACAAACTTTCATTGCGTTAAAGCTTTTCTCATCACACAAGAGCAAAACGGATTCATCATCAATGCACAAACTATCGAGGGGACTATGAGTGCTGGCTGTGGGCAAAGTTTTGCTGCTGGTGAGCGCCGTACCAAAGTGGTTAAACATTAACTCACACTTGATTTATCACCACAAACATGATTTTCTTACGACCAAGGTGTCACAATGAGTGCCACTCAGGCATATATCTCCTTACATAGGCCCTTCTTTCAATTCACTCACATCCCCACACTGCACTGTTCACATATCAAAAAAGCAGACTTTTTTAACTGGCAGGGAATAGTTTCAAGAATGAATTTAAACACCTGATACCTTAATACATTTGCAAATCCTGCCAATTTTGTCTCAAGTTTTGGACCGTATTCCTTTTGTATTTCCCTTTAATTTTTAAAAGATTATTGCTGCTACTACCTTATATGTTAACTTTATCACTTATAAACTGTATAACCTTGGCAAGTTAATCACTGAATCGAATTTATTCTTTGATAAAATGGGTACTTCTTTACCATAAGAACAGTTCGAAGTGTTTAAATAATGGAGAGCTATTTTTATTACATGCATACAGTGCTTTGTAGTTTTTTAATTCATACCTGAAGTTGTAGTTTTATGATTTATAGTTATAAGGCATTGATTTAAGGTATTTAAAATCTTAAGGCTAGATTCCTCAGATTATTTTTTCTTACAATTTACACATTTATGAAAAACTTTCGTGCTTTAGTAACTTAAACAATTAAAAAAAATTGACCAAGACGAGGTAATATCGTTGACATGAATGGAAGTTTGTAGAAAATTCTGCTTTCCATTTATTTAAGTGGTTTATATACGGTGTTGAGCTGATTTGAACTCCAATCAAACACTGCATGGAACTGATTTGAGGTCGGAGGAATCATTACCAAAAGATACCTTTTTTTGTTATTGTTGAGACCACAGCTAGAAAATCATATTCTAGGGGCTGTTTAGAGGTTTTAGCCCCTTGATAATACCTTAATTCATTTTTCTTTAAAAGAACTAATTTCCATTTTACTTCCTCTGTATTTTCAACAGAATCTTAAAATAATTGGACGACAACCGGATTGAAAACCTCTGGGATTTTTCTCCCCGGGGGCCTTGCTGTGGTCTTGTTCTCGCCCGGTACTTTTGCACAAGTCCAGGGAACACCTGGGCGGCAGTCTGACCCCCAGTTGGCCTCCGGGCCGCCGCAGCCTGGCCGACTTCCGCCCCAGCCCAAGCTGTGCCCCGTCCCGCCCCTTCGGACCCGAGATTTGTCGGAATTTTCCCGCGATGCCGCGGGAGCGCGCGAGGCTTCCAGCCAGGCCCCAGAGTGCACTGCGGGCTCCCGTGTGTGTGCGCGCGCGTGCGCGGGGCTCCATTGCTGAGACCGCGGGAAAATTCCAAAAAGTCTAAACAAAACAAAAAGCCAAAACGAGGCAAAGTCAAATTGTAAAGCCACAGAACCCCGGCTTCCTTTCTGCCACTGCCCAAACTGCGGAAGCAGCTCTGGCGTGGACCACCCGGTAAGAGAGAGGCCGCAGAACGAAGCGAAGGTGTTTGTGTCCCTTGGGGGTCTGGCGGACGCGTCAGCTGGAGGTGGGAGGGTGGTGGTGGGGGGGGGGAAAGAGGCAAGACTCGCGAGAACGCCCGCCGCGCTCCGCGCTTCGAGGTGGGTGAGCGGGTCTCCCGCCCGGTGCTGGGGCTGAGAGGCGGTGGGGAGCGGCGTAGGGTGGCGCCAGCCGGCGGGGGCGGGGCGAGCGAGTAGGCGGGTCCGCCGACGAGGGGCGAGGTCAGAGGGGGCGGGGCGAGCCCAGGGGCTGTGGCGGCGGAGGGGTCACGCGGAAGGGAGCCTCCGGAGCGGTGGGAGCTGGGAGTTGGCGTTTTGGTCCTTTTTGTTCATTGAGCGCAGGCAGCTATGTCTTCTTAAAAGGAGAAGAGCAAAGGTGAATTTCTTTGCCTCGGATCCGTGGGAGCTGTGAAAAGCTCGCCTCTTTTAGCCCATCACCCTGTACAGCTGGCCTCTTCCTCTCCGCACCCCCACCCCCGCCAGCCGCTGGGGCGCCGCGAGGGGGCGAGGCCCACTTGGAGGAGCCGGGGGCGCGGCTGTTGTCCTCCCGCCGTCCGCCTTTCATCCCGGGGCGGGAGGGGGGCGGTTCTGATGGGCGATTGTCTCCCCACAGCTCTTTATTTGAACGCAAGGGCAAGTGGCGTTTCAAGCACTTCAGAGATTTTTGGGGTGCTGTGTGTTTGTTAGTTTGCGCTTTTGTATTTTTAGGTGGGCGCGTTTACAAATGAACCCGCTTTGATTTTGTATGTACTAGCGTTCTGGAGGGGAAAAAGATTTGGAGTTTTTGAAACATGAGAAGCTTGGGACTAGAATCTTACGGAAAGAGGCCAAGGAATTTTCCAGCAAAGACCTGTATGTGCCTGGGCTTTTGTTCTAATCTGAAACTGGGAAAACTCCTGCGCTCCTAGTTTTATTCTAACCTGTGCCCCATTTAATGCATCTAAACTGTGATGTGAGTGACTTACCATTTATCAAATGAGCAGAGCATTTTTGGGCCACCCAACTTCAGCTATTTATGGATGTCACTTCAGTGATACGCCGCTGGGAACATTTTCTCATTACTCCGCTCAAGGATTGTTACAAATGATAGAATTCATACCATGTGTTGGGATCATTCATTACATAAGCTTAGATAGAAAACATGTTCTTTGTGACTTTATCCATTAAACTTAAATTGATGTTTCCATGTAATGTGATCTGGTACAACCAGATTCACGTGTATGTAAATACTCATATACGTTACTCATATATATATATAAGAAAGACTGCATCATACAAGAATTTGTTTTCCGAATTGTATCAAAGGGCCTATTTCACCTTTCCCCAAAGAGTAAAAGTTAGATCATGCCTCTTTAGAACTGACTAATCACACTTTTGTATATTATAAATTTTATCTTTTTTTAAAATTTCATCATACTCCCCTTGATTTTTTGAAACACATTAAAGCCTCAAAAAAGAAAGGCAGACTATATTGGTATTTTTTGTTCTGTCCTTTAATAAAAATTATTAGCTTGATTCCTTGACTGGATGTGGAAGATGTGTTGCTGCATGTATGTGAAACTGTGCATGTACATTTTGAAATAAATGGTACTTTTAACCAGTTCCATATTTCAGCAAGTAGTTCCAGTAACAATTATACAAGTTTTGTATTTATGAAAACCAGCTACAGGGAGGCCAGCCTGGCCAGTAGAAAGTTGGATTGATTATCTAGGCCACAGAGAGAGCCAGAGAAATCTCACAGGAGTGGCAGTTCCAAGTTAGTAGTGGTAGAGCCTCAAGTCAAGCTAGAAATCAGCACCAAATGGTTTTTTAAAAATCTTATTTTAGCCTGGAATATGTATAGACTCTGTCTTGGTTATGGATCCTGAATGATTGGCTTTTTAGTATGAAAGAAAACCCGTAAGAAAAGTACATTTAATTTGCAGTATTTTTAAAAAAATGCAGAAGTGGAGAAGGAAAAATAAAAATTCAGATAGTGTAAATCTTGAGTGTTTTATTTTTTATTAAATACCTAAGACCTTTTTTGGAGGGGGAGGGAGGATATGGTTTGCAAAGAACCTTGCAAAGTTATCTGGGCCATTCTGTTAGGCTCCTCATAAACTCCTAGGTACTAGAAACATTTCCCAGTTGAGAGTTGTTATATAGGAGAATCTATAATCTTCCCTGATTATGCATTCTTGGTGCTTTTCTCTAGTTATAAGATGGCACAGTGCATATGGAAATCATCTTTTTGAGGCTGTATAGTCTGTTTATAAACAGTTCTGTGAGTTTTAGTAAATTTAGTACATTTTTGGAATTGTTCAAGGGTCCCCACAGTTCAGTTTTAGAATATTTGCATCAAAAGTTTGCACATGCAAGTTTGTAGTTAATCCTGGTTCCTGCTTTCAGCCACAAGCAACCATTGATTTGCTTTCTGTCTGTATAGGTTAGCTTTCTCTGGACATTTCATGCAAGGAGATTCATAAGATATGTGCTCTTTGTGTCTGGCTTATTTCACTTAACATAATGTTTTTGAGATTCATCCATATCATAGCATGTATCAGTATTTTGTTCCTGCTTATTGCCGAGTAGTATTCCATTGTATGAGTATACCACATTTTATCAGTTGAGGGACATTTAGGTTGCTTCTATATTTTGGCTGTTAAGAATAATGCTGCTGTGAACACTGGTGTGCAAATCTTCGTGTGAACATATGTTTTCATTTTTCTTGGTAAGATACTTATGAGTGGAATTGTTGGGTTTTATAGTAAGTTTATGTTTGACTTTAAAAAACTACCAAACTATTTTCCAATGTGGCTGTGCTATTTTATATTCCCACCAACAATGTATGAGGGTTTTGATTTTTTTCTATAATACATCATCAACATTTGTTACCGTGTCTATTTATTTATTTGGAGACAGAATCTCACTCTGTTGCCTGGGCTAGAGTGCGGTGGAGTCAGCCTAGCTCACAGCAACCTTAAATTCCTGAGTTCAAGCAATCCTTCTGCCTCAGCCTCCTGAGAAGCTGGGACTATAGGCATGCACCACCATGCCCAGCTTTTTCTCTATATTTTCAGTTGGCCAATTAATTTATTTCTATTTTTAGTAGAGACGGGGGGTCTCACTCTTTCTCAGGCTGGTCTTGAACTCCTGAGCTCAAACGATCAGCCTGCCTCAGCCTCCCAGAGTGCTAGGATTAGGCATGAACCACTGCATCCTGTCCACAGTGTCTATATTATAGCTATACTAGTAGGTATGAAGTGGTATCTCATTGTGGTGGTAATTTGAATGTCTGTATTGGCTAATGATATTAAACATATTTTCATGTGTTTATTAGCCAATTCTGCATATTCTTTGAAATGTTTATTTGTACCTTTTGTCCATTTTTTGATTAGGTTGTTTGTCTTATTAGGTCGTAAGCATTCTTTGTACATTCTGGATACAAGTCCGTTATCAGACATGTTTTGCTAATAATTTCTTTAAGTCTTGTTATTTGTCTTTTAATTTTCTTAATGGTATCTTTTGAGGCACAAAGTTTTTAATTTTGAAGAAGTCCAGTTTATAAATTTCTTTTTTTTGTATCATACTTGAGTTCTGTGATCAATTTCCACTTAATTTTTATATATGGTTTGAGGAATGAGTCCAAATTCATTTTTTTTGCACATGGATATCCAGTTGTCGCAGCATGATTTGTTAAAAAACTATCCTTTCTCTATCTAATTGCCTTGGAACCTTTGTCAAAAATCAGTTGACCATAAAGGTTTTATTTCTAGACTCTCATTTCTGTTTCAGTGGTCTATATGCCTATCGTTTTCTTCTCCGTTTTTTTTTTTTTTTTTTTTTTTTTTTAAGAGACAAGAACTTACTCTGTCAGCCAGGCTGGAGTGAAGTGGGGTCATCATAGCTTACTGCAGCCTCAAACTCCTGGGCTCAAGTGCTGCTTCTGCACCAGCCTCCCTAGTAGCTGGCACGATAGGTGCATGCCACTATATCTGGCTAGTTTTCTTAGTTTTTATGTGTGTTGCCCAGGCTGTGTTGCTTAGTTTCTCTGTGTGTTGCCCAGGCTGGTCTCAAACTCCTGGCCTCAAGCGATCTTCCCACCTTGGCCTTGGAAAATGTTGGAATTAGAGGTGCGGGCCTCTGTGCCTGGCCTGTATTCGTATTGTTATGTTAGTACTACATTGTCTTGTTTATGGTAGCTTTATAGTAAGTTTTGAAATCAGGTGATGTAAGTCATCCAGTGTTTTTCTTCATTTTCAAAATTGTTTTGGCTATTCTGGGTTCCTTACATTTGCATGTAACTATTAGTATCAGCTTGACTTTTTTTTCCTAGAAAAACTCTGCTGTGATAGATTTTATTAGTAATTACATTGAATTGATAGATCTGCTTGGGGAAGAATTGCCTTCTCAACATGAACATGGAATCTCTTTCCATTTTTTTAGATCTTTAATTTCTCTCAGCAATAGTTAGTAATTTTAAGTGATCTTGCCCTTCTTTTGTTAAATTTATTTTGAAGTGTTTTATTTTTGATGCTCTTGTGAATAGAACTTTTTAAAAAATTTTATTAATGGCTTGTCCATTGCTAATATATAAAAATGCAATTGATTTTTGTATATTGATCTTGTATCTTACAACCTTGCTGAGTTTATTACTTCAAGCAGATTTTTTTTGTGAATTCCATAGGATTTTTTTTTTTTTTTTCCTGGGCTCAAGCAATCCTGCTGCCTCAGCCTCCCAAGTAGCTGGGACTACAGGCATGCGCCACCATGCCCGGCTAATTTTTTCTATATGTATTAGTTGGCCAATTAATTTCTTTCTATTTATAGTAGAGACGGGGTCTCGCTCTTGCTCAGGCTGGTTTTGAACTCCTGACCTCGAGCAATCCACCCGCCTCGGCCTCCCAGAGTGCTAGGATTACAGGCATGAGCCACCGCGCCCGGCCTCCATAGGATTTTCTACATATAACAGCATGT